CCCCCCCCCCCCCCCCCCCATCCTTGCGCCACCCCCCGAGCCGCGGTAATTTGTCGAGCATGTTAAAAAATATAACGTTTCTAATAACCCCCCTCCCCCGCCCCCCTAGCGGAAATGCTAAAATAATGTTTTCGAATACTTTAAAAAAAGGAACTGGAAGACGGCAAAAAGTAAAGTGCAGCTTGCCACAAGACTTGCCAAAAAAACTACCTTTCCTGCGTCACAAGCCTACGCGAAATCCATATGCCCTTTATCCGGCAATGTCTGTAGACGACACTGACGACACGAGGCTGCACGATGCTGTCTTTATCATCGATGATTCAGGTTCCATTCCTTCCGATGATTTCAACAAGGGTTTGAAAGCATTAAGGACTATGATCGAAAAAGCGCAGTCAGAGCATCCAGGCTCAAAATTCGCCGCCATAAAGTTCTCCAATTAGGCCACGCTTTTGTTTAACTTCATCTCACCAGATCAGGCAAAAAAGAAATTGTTGAACGTCGTACACAGCGGTGGCTTAACAAACACTCAAGACGCCCTCAAAATGGCTAGAAGAGATCTTTTCCTAAACCCAGCAGCCTCGGGGCACAGGCATTTCGCTGTTAGATTGGTGATCGTCATAACCGATGGCGGTTCGAACATCCAATCGGATCAGACCGTAGTACAAGCAACCCTGCTGAAAAAATATGGAACAGAAGCTCTGGTCCTTCCTGCGGGAAATTATTTTGGAGCGTTAGAGCGCAAGGAAATAAACAGCATTGCCAGTTACCCTCCGAAGGAAAACGTATTTTATCTTCACAACTTTCAATATATGTTAGCCGTCGTAGAAATGGCTGTTAAAATCTCATAATAGACTTAGACGCAAAGTGGAAAGTAATCTAACATCGCTCGTTCGATGCGGCACGCTAAAACTAACTGAAATCGAGTAGTAGCGATTCAAAAAATCGAATTTTATACTCAGTTAATCAAGGAATTATTGCAGACCACATCTCAAATAGTAGGTTAATTAAGGCCTGGCTTAATATGTTCACCTCGGAAAAAATGGCTTATCTGCCATAGCTGTAGCAAAATAGAACTAATTAGAATCTGGTCGGTAGCATTCTTATATGGGCAATAACTATAATTTCAGTAAGTCGTGTAGCCAAATTTCGGTAAAACAATAGATAAATGACGAAAGGTCGCGGGTTTAAGCAGGAGCCCCTTGGTTTAAGAAAAGAGTTTCATTCTGACCCAATGTTAGTATTTTTAAGACTTTACTTTCGGAATGAAAACCACCTCACTTCAATAAGGAGTTTTGACTGAACAAACGTCAAGTTAAAGGTCAAAATTAGTCTTTTTGAACTTCGAGCACAATCATTGCAATTAGCGTACAAAGTAAAATATGATTTTTCGCTATCGAAAACGCTAATTCGTCTAACCCAAGAATACAAAATAAATAAGCCACCGAGTTTCCAGTATAGAGTGTTTTCACTCACGTGGCCAGCATATATGCAGGGGGTGCGCCCCCCCTGAGATGACCTGCGGTTTTCTAATACAACTGGTATTCTGCAAAAAAAAAAAATGTGGTTTATTAGTGTTGAAGTAGAGCAAGAGACGAGTGCACCCCCTCCTAAAAAAAATCCTGGATCCGCCCCTGATATGCAAGTTTATTGGAACAAAAGAAAGTGGTTGCGTAAGAAAAGAATTCAACTCCCAGAGGACTGGTTTGGGACACCAACATGGCTGCCGTTTCATTGTTTTGGGAAACCGATATGACCCCTGTGACGTCGTGTGAAAACTCTCTATACCATGAGGTTTACTTTTTAGATCAAGCGACATGTCACGTGACCATAATTATAAGTTAGTCCACAAGAAGACGTCAAAATTTCCATTGCAGAGAGATTCAGCCTACTTTAGGTACTCTAATGAAACAGTAATGAATAATAGCTTTANTTTCATTGTTTTGGGAAACCGATATGACCCCCGTGACGTCGTGTGAAAACTCTCTATACCATGAGGTTTACTTTTTAGATCAAGCGACATGTCACGTGACCATAATTATAAGTTAGTCCACAAGAAGACGTCAAAATTTCCATTGCAGAGAGATTCAGCCTACTTTAGGTACTCTAATGAAACAGTAATGAATAATAGCTTTATTATTTTATATAGCGCAAAATAAATGGGCATATGATCTAACGCGCCTACTGTAATACGCTTCAGAGTCAGTGGCCTTAAAACTCCATTGATTACCTTGTCCAGCTGCATTAAATGAATATGCTAATGAAAACACTGCTATACATCGTTTTTCATTGTATTTTTTCTGCGCAACCTCATAATCGAAGAAGGTGATATCCCATTCGACATAACACCAACCTATTCTGTTCATACATAAGAAGGGTTACTTCGGCGCTACTTATTTGACGGAGCAAAGCTGCCCCGCGCCCATCTCTAAAGTGGAGCGTCACATATCGGGTAGGTTTTGTGCCAAACTTTGGTGCAGTGTGAACACCCGTTCGGTCCGTCGCGGAAGTAAGTAAGTAGGAGCGAGGTCTGGAACCCACTACAAGAGACAGAAGTAAATATTCGGGGGTGATGAGTACTGAGCACGGTGTTCCGCAGCGGGCCTCCTTTCAGCAAAATCTATTCACAGGTAGCGATGAAAAAATATGGGGGATGTTCTAAAACTGGCTCTTCCAAATGATTGGCGCCAATAACTATGCTGACTTAATAGGATTAAACCGTCGATGTTAGATCTCTAGACCTTAACTCTCGCTAGAAATTCACCTTTGGTGCCAAGATTTTCTGGAACGATCACTTTCAAAATTAAGACGGGACTGTCTGCTCACTAATGGTTAACCACTGATAGTATCCGTTTCCAGGCCAGAGTCTTTTTTCCCAAAAGTTGTTTGAGGCAGCAATCTCCTTAGAATTTTGCTCTCGTGTATGTTAGTTTACGCTTGGCATTCAAAAATTAAACGTGTGTTCAGCTTCAGTTTGCATTGCTTAATAGACTTAAAACCCGGGTGCAAAAAATATCAGTCGATATAGACAACTCCCTACCTTAATGCATGAAAGCGTCGTAGCAAACATTGTCAAAGGGTGATTAACCTCATTGAAAACAATCAATAAATGAATTGAACTGTATGAGCGATCTTTTGTTTGTATTATTGTATAAATACAGGCAATCAACTTTCTCTTAACCATGGCAAACATCCAAGGCAGATTGAATTCCTCCCTTAAACAGATACCTAGAGTTAGTCCTTGTCTTTGTACAGTAGTTTTCTTTGACTCTTTGCAAGACGGACACATATCTAAAACGTATCCCTAGCCTGCGGTCATTTTGTAACTCACTATACTTGAGTGAGAGAGAGGGAATCTCCAGCATTTAACATCTGACGGACATTTAAAAGCCGTCAGTCTTCAAGGTCTCCGCCTTAGAGTTTTTCTGTACGTAATAGTGAGGTTAAGGAACCACGACGGCGGTGGCTGGGAAAGGGGCATTGAAGAATTCATTTCGCGCGTTACTATATCCATTTTGAAACCACTGGTGATCGTTGAAATCTGATTGGCTCTGAGCAGTGCGATTTATTCACGAATCACACTAGTTTTTGCTCTAAATCACATCTGTCCCAAATCGCGTCAATCATATTCTAAATTGCATCATTTCTGTTTTTAATCGCACCATCTTCGCTCTATATTGCATCATCTGTTTCAGGTACAAAAGGAGATAAAAAGCCCTTTTGTTTCCGCTTTTCAACAAACCGGCTGCTAGGTCTGTTTTTAATCACACCATCTTCGCTCTATATTGCATTATCTGTTTCAGGTACAAAATGAGATAAAAGGCCCTTTTGTTTCCGCTTTTCAACAAACCAGCTGCTAGGTCAAGTAGATAATGGTTTGGTACTGACTGAATTCTGCGATTTCAAAATGGCTGTAAAAAAGTGGTAGTTGAACTTGGTGTCGCGCAATTTTGGTCTGAAATCAAATCGAACTCGCGCATCCCACGCAAGACTTTAGACCAAACTGCACTCCACTTAGTTCAATTATCAAGTATCAAATTTACCCGCGCTAATTCCATCTCGTTAACATTGTCAAATTTGGGCGAATTTTTCTGGAGTTGAATTCTAAAGGACTATATCTAAGGTTAGAGAAAGAAAAAGAAAGTAGGCCCTGTGTTCACGTCCTCCTTAAAACGTGAGATTAGGAATTTTCACGTCGTAGTCGAGGAGTGACGGAAAAGAAACGTACAGAAAAGGCCAATAACGGCAACGAGGACGTAAACGAAGACAATGGGTTACGAAAAGGCATTCGCCATNATTCTGCGATTTCAAAATGGCTGTAAAAAAGTGGTAGTTGAACTTGGTGTCGCGCAATTTTGGTCTGAAATCAAATCGAACTCGCGCATCCCACGTAAGACTTTAGACCAAACTCCACTCCACTTAGTTCAATTATCAAGTATCAAATTTACCCGCGCTAATTCCATCTCGTTAACATTGTCAAATTTGGGCGAATTTTTCTGGAGCTGAATTCTAAAGGACTATATCTAAGGTTAGAGAAAGAAAAAGAAAGTAGGCCCTGTGTTCACGTCCCCCTTAAAACGTGAGATTAGGAATTTTCACGTCGTAGTCGAGGAGTGACGGAAAAGAAACGTACAGAAAAGGCCAATAACGGCAACGAGGACGTAAACGAAGACAATGGGTTACGAAAAGGCATTCGCCATACACATTTTAATGAACTGTTCGTTCCCAACTAAAATAACAGTTAAGATATGGGGCGAGCTATAATACAGGGAGACGTATGTACGTAAAACAACTGCAGTACTGTATACAGCTATTTCGAGAAAGGTTGTCGGAAAAAGTGTACGCGACAATGCCCAAAGGTGCTGTGGGTGGTTTTGAGTTTATTGCTCTTCAAAGAAATTTAAAAGAATGGCACGAGAGGCCATGGAAAGCAACGAGAGTAAGTGTCAGGAACAGTGTAAGTTGATCATATCCCATAATACCGTTCAGGATTGTCGCGTGCACATTATTCTGACAACCTTTCTCGAAATAGCTGTATATCACAAGTGAATTGTCGCAACCAACGACTGTAAAATCTAGTGGAGCCATAACACTCCAATACTGTGCTTTTTTCTCTTATCAATGAGAAATTACGGCCTGAAGACTTTGAATAACTCGTAATACTTTGACCACTCTCTGTGTACGCGAAACTCACCCAAAAATCACCATGTCTAAATACAATTTATAAACCAAGCCTTCTCGTCTTATCCACGGTCTCCAAACAACAACGGCTGAAATTCACGATAAGTGGAACGCAACCGCGTTTTGTCCTAAGAGCTTGGCTCTACACAACATTAACTGATATGCTAAACACACACCCGAGGCCTCTCAATTCAATACATTTCAATACAATGTTACAGGCGAACTGTCTGTTAAATTCAGTAACTACAATATTCGGTTCTTGAAAGCACACAGAACACCGGCTGTAAAGTTCAGGTCAATGGCGGAAGAAACCGGCCGTTTGTGACGGAGCAGCCTGGTACGGCGATTGATAACGAACATGCGCGGGCCCCGAAGGACTGGTTACAAGGAACTGCGGTGAGCTGCTTGGCAACCGTGGCGGTGGCTGTGACGGAGAGGAAAGCTGGGGCGCGGCCGGTGATATATAAACCTGATGATGGTGTGAATGCCCTATTCTGTAATTCTAAAGGCAACAAGAACACACGGCAATCAGAAATTAAACACTAAAACCCCATTTACACGCGCTAAAACAATCGGCACGGCACGCCAAATTTTTGACACTGTGCTGACGATCTTAAGGCACGGCACTCCCAATTTTCGACGTGTATATGTATCGGTCCCAAATGTAATG